AATCTAGATCATGCTGAGACTAATTCTCAGAATGAAGAGCAACATGGTGATGTTGATGACTAGCAGGTTGGAGATGGATTAGAGGTTCCGATTGATGGTGATCAAGGGGAACATGATGATGATCTTGATGATGCACCAGAACAACCACTAGTTCCACCTAGAAGGTCTAACAGGCCGAAACAACCATCTAAAAGGTATGATCTTAAAGATTATGTGTTGTTGACTGATGATGGAGAACCTGAGTGTTTTGAAGAGGCTATTGAGAGTGAAGAAAAGAAAAAGTGGCTGGATGCAATGCAGGATGAGATGAAATCCTTGCATGATAATCACACTTATGACCTGATGAAGTTGCCTAAGGGCAAGAGGGCCTTAGAGAACAAGTGGATTTTCAAGGTGAAATAAGATAGTAATTCTACATCTCCAAGATACAAAGCCAGATTAATAGTGAAAGGTTTCAGACAGAGAAAAGGTGTTGATTTTAATGAGATTTTCTCACCTGTGGTGAAGATGTCATCCATCAGAACAGTGCTAAGTTTAGCTGCTACTTTTGATTTGGAGGTTGAACAAATGGATGTGAAGACAACTTTCCTTCATGGTAATTTGGAGAAAGAGATCTATATGAAGCAACCTGATAGTTTTCTTGTTAAAGGCAAGGAAGACTATGTGTGCAGATTGAGAAAGAGTTTATATGGTTTAAAGCAGGCTCCAAGACAATGGTATAAAAGGTTTGAGTCCTTTATGCTTGATCAAGGCTACAAGAAGACTACTTCTGACCATTGTGTCTTTGTTCAGAAGTTTCCTGATGATGACTTCATTATCCTGTTATTGTATGTTGATGACATGCTTATTATTGGGAAAAATGTTTTCAGGATTGACAGGTTAAAGAAGCAACTAGGCGAGTCATTTGCCATGAAAGACATGGGAGCTGCTAAAAAGATTCTTGGTATAAGAATCACTCGTGATAGGAAAGAGAAGAAACTTTGGCTATCACAGGAGCACTACATTGAGAAGGTGTTACAAAGATTCCAAATGAAAAATGCTAAAGCTGTGAGCACTCCTCTTGCGGCTCATTTTAAGCTGAGTGTTAAACAAAGTCCTTCAAATGAAGCTGAGAAGACAGACATGAGCAGAGTTCCTTATGCATCTGCAGTGGGTAGTCTGATGTATGCAATGGTATGTACAAGACCAGATATTGCACATGTTGTTGGTACAGTCAGTAGATTTCTGTCAAATCCAGGTAGAGAGCATTGGAATGTTGTGAAATGGATTTTGAGGTATCTTCGTGGTACTAGTAGTTTGAGGCTTTGTTTTGGAGGTGATAAACCTACTTTGGTAGGTTACTCAGACTCAGATATGGCTGGAGACATTGATTCCAGGAGGTCTACTTCAGGCTATATTATTAAATTTGCAGGGGGAGCTATAGCTTGGCAGTCAAGGCTGCAAAAGTGTGTAGCGTTGTCTACCATAGAGGCAGAGTTCATTGCACTTACTGAAGCGTGCAAGGAGTTGCTATGGGCGAAGAAATTCTTACAAGAGCTTGGTTTTGTGCAGGACAAATACTTGTTGCTCTGTGACAATCAAAGTGCTATCCATCTTGGTAAGAATCCAACTTTCCATTCTAGATCCAAACATATTGATGTAAGGTATCATTGAATATGTGATGTTTTGGATGCTAAGCTGTTGGAGTTAGCTAAAGTTCATACTGATGATAATGGTGCTGATATGATGACTAAGGCACTACCAAGAGGGAAGTTTGAGTACTGTTGTGAGATCGTCGGATTGACGGTCACCTCCACATAGTTGTGAGGGGGGAGAATTGTTGGGTTGGACTCCCAACTATGTGTCCAAAAGTCCAAATTTTCAAGCTCATTTTCTACACTTAATTGAGGGGAGTGAGAAGTCAGTGGAGTGGGTGAGGGAAGTCCATTTTCGCAGTCTAGTGTGAGTATTTTCGGTTAGAGGCATCAAAAAGAGAGAAGGGAAGTGAGGGAAGAAAAGAAGCTCCAGACCAGCTACTCCATTTCTCTGATATCCAATTAGTTCACCGTTGGATTGGGCTGAAAATTTTACAGCAGATTCATAACACGGTTCTCTTTGTTCTGACCGTTCTCTTTATTGCTTGGTTGTATTAGCTGGTTGTTTGCACGAATTTGTGCAGTATTTTGAGACTCTCTTGTAACCTCATTTGATTATAGTGGAGCTTGATTGACTGGCTTGAGCCCGTGGGTTTTTACTTCTCACATTGAGAGGGTTTTCCCACATAAATAATTCTCTGTGTCCTTGTGTTTGTTGCTGCCATTTGTTATTGTTGTTGCTCCTCACAGGTTCTTGCAAGTTTGGAAAATTGTTTCCGCTGCTCACTTTAGATAATTGTGTTCTTGTATTTGGTTTTTTCCAACAATTTAGAGGTTAGATTTTGGTGCGTTCACTTGATGCAAGCTCTTTCATGAGCTAGCTTGTTTAGTTGAAATGGTTTTGCTCTAGAAAACCCTGTTTGGATTCAAATCCTCCAGATGTATCTAATGGCAGAGGATTCTTAATTTCGCTGAAAATATTCGATGGATGGAATGTTTCGCCTTGTCCATGAAATAATAAGAATTTTTCTTCGGACTAAAAAAGTTGATGTCAGCTCTTAGCCAAATGATATTAAAGCCGTTTGTGAATGCCCTTGTTTTTAGGTTGGGGGGAAGAGGGGAAGACTATACCCCTATACAGCATGGCTATTAATTTCGTCGAATTCTTATTAGAAATTTCCCTTTTTACATTAAGGAGTACATTTAATTCATAATTTATATTTTTATCATAATTCATTATTATACTTAATATTTTAAAGTGCACTCTCTACTAAAGAGAAATTAATTCCTAAATTTTACTAAAAGAATTCTCAAATTCAAGCTAATCTGCAGTGATGAATAATTTTGATGAACGAAGATGTCATAGTTCAAAAGAAGAAATTGTGTGACATGTTCAACAACCATTGTTTCTATGTAGAGTCAGCTTGATCAATAATAACAACCTAAAAAAACTCCAACCAAGAGAGAGTATATCAAATGCATATTCCAATCGCAAAATACTTAAAGATGACCCAAATTTTGGTTTTAATATATATTTTATTGACACTTATTAATCTTATTTGTCATCTTTCTCTTATTCGTATTAAAATAATAAAATAAATAAACTAATTTTATATATAAGAGTTCCATCACGTGCTTAGAAAAACTTATTTCTCTTTTTTTTTTTTTTCAAATTATCCACACACTATGTATGTAGATTGGAAGGAGAATTGTTAAAAGAAAAAAATTACAAGATTACAGAGATCTGACCATGGATCATCTATCAGTACTATAACTCACTCAAAAGCCTTCAGAGAAAAGAGAAGCATATGAATGCTGACATAAAAATGAAATGCATCCAAGATTATCCTTCATACAACTTCGTAGAGAAGCCAGAGAAAACAAGACTTACTCCAGGCCGTTCTTTTTTACTTTTTCTTTTTATCAGCAAAAGAAATTTATTAAAATAAAGTACAAGAAATATTCTATATAAAATTTATATTAAAATATGTTTAATAACACATGTCAATACACGACAATGGGTTTGATAAAGGCCGTCCAAGCAATGGATAAGACATGAGTATGCCTAGACCACTGCTTATTTTTACTCGTTCACTAAATATTTGTATATTTGGATTCAAACTCATAATTTATATTTTAGTTATTTTAAATGTGATCTTTCATAATATATTTGTTTGACAAACTAATACTCTTGAATTTTATTTTATTATTAACATTAATCATAAGTATTAATACAAGCAGCATTAAGTAAAAGTATCGTATATAACTTCATTGAAACAAGTATTCAAAATAAAAAAAAAAAACAATTCTTAAACATAAAACATTACAAATAAATTTTTTAACTTGGTTAAAAAACTATTCAAAAAAATTTCAAATTTTAGTGATAAAATAAATATATAGTAAGCATGAGTAAAATCGAATATTATAGTATCTATATCCACCACATCTATTCTTGCAAAATTGTATGAGCGATTACATATATTCGAACTCATTTGATTGTTAAAAATCTTACCAATTGTAAATAGTTTTTATGAATACCCATTAAATATAGATCAATCTGTCATCCTTATTCCTATTTCACCCTTCATCATTCCAAAACACAAGTTTTGTTGCTAGTTCCTAAACTTCACAATTAAACTGTTAGTTTCTGAATTTTCAAATCATTTATAATCAAACTGATGATAATATATTGTTAAAGTTTTTTTAAGTGTATATACTTTATTAAAAAATTAAATACTTGGTAAATAATTAAACCAGTGACCTAATTCTTAAACTACTTAAAATTTGTTATATTAATTCCTACATTAAACGAAACTTAAAAGAGAAAACTAATTAATATTTTTAATAAATTCCCTAAAAATTCGGATACCAATGGATTAATTTGAGGCAAACAGAATAACCAAATCCCAAATAATTAACTAGATAGATACCTTGAATGTCCGTTGTGGAGCAAAACAAAGCAGGTAAACAAGGCTCTGACCAATCTGTTTATGACCAAATATGGAAAATGACACTAATGCTTCAAGGATTAATTATTCTTTTATCATTACCCAGAAAAGAGTAGTTAACTAGACCACAACCCAGCACAACAAAAATGACTTAAAACCTACCAACATCCATAGGATCCAGTTAGAATTTAATTTGAGCACTATGCAGATAAATAACCCACCCTCAACCCCAACAAAGTGCATCCTTGAATTCACAGTCACTAATCACAAAGTTCATTTAAACAAACTCTACAACCCATTCCAGAATATTCATGCCAATATAAACCATTCACTTAATTGAGATAGTTACTTCATGCTTGATGCAAGTTGAGCTTTATAATAAACATTCCATCTTTCTCTCCATTCTTCTTCCAATAATAATAATAATTAAACGATGTCGTTAACACCAGTCTTAAAAACCAATTAGAAAATCGAAAAATTTCCACTGTTAATTACTATTTCTTTATGCAAAAGCACATTATTAATTATTTCATGTTTTCTGAGGAAAAGAAAGAACAAAAAATGCAGTCAGTCTAGGAATTAAGCTCGAAGTGAAAAGAGCACTGAGAAAAATCCACGAGTTGATGAGAGATATAAACTGAAACCATTAAATCAACAATGGAAAATGATTTAAATGAAGCCCTAATGTTAGCAATTGAAAGAGAATGAAAATGAATTAACCAAGAAAACCTGTTTGGCGCCAAACGGCATTCCGAACCTGCCGTAAGTCCCTTCCTTTCAGAGTCCTTCCAACACCTTCCAGAACAGAGCACGCCAGCATCTGCGATTGCGCTGAGTTCCTCGCCGTGATTTCGTGTGGAGGCACCATCTCCTCCTCCTCTTCCTCCTCTTCGCCGCCGCCGCCGCCGTCGTCGGCGTCCAACTCGCGGCGCTTCCTCCGTGCATTTGTCATTGCCTCCGAAAGGATCGGAACGTTCAGTGGCGCCGACTGGTGGAACCTGACGGACGAAGACAGCGCCGGAGGCCTAGGAATGGACGGAATCAAGCGCGAGGAGGAACCTGAGGCCTTGTGGAAGAGCGGCGAAACATTTCGGCGGTTAGGAGAGGTTTCATTTTCGGGGAGTGCGGCGAGGATGCCGAAGGAATGGTGGTGGTTGGGAGTGGAAGGGGAAGAGGTGGAGGTATTCTGGTGGTTTGGTTCGGCGTTGTAGTTGTCAGCGAAGAAAACGACGTCGTCCTCGTGGAGCTCGTCGTTGGGGTTTTGAAGGAGTGGCGGCGCCTGTGATGGCACGCGGAGGAAACGTCCAGAGGGTGTGGATTTGCGGTTTGAGAAGCGGTTCGGGTCGAATAAATCCATTGGGGTTGGGTTCGGAGTTTTGTTGATTTTAGAGAAACAGAGTGAGAGAGAGGTTATAACCGACTAGTGAGGCCGTGACCGAGGAACAGAGTAATTAGGCTTTTTATTTCCTTTCAATTAAAAAATAATTAGTAACTGAAGTTGACGGTTACTTTGACTATTGTTTTAGTACAAATAAATTGGTCAATAACATGATTAAAATAAAGTAGACAATAGATTTGGCTGTTTGTAAATGTAGCTAAAGCATAGGGTTATTATTTTTATTTTCCTTTCATCTTCCCTGTAAATGTAAGAAACGAAATTTCAGTACCAATCTTATTAAAAATTTATTTACAAGACATAATGTTAGTGATTTAGATTATATGGTTCAGAGTATTTAGTAATATTTTAAATTTTAAACATAAATAAGTGTACTAAATTTTGACAAGATGACGAAAGGTTTAGAACTTATTTTGTAAGACTAAATTAAATCAGTTTCCTTTTCTTTAACACAATCAAGATTAATTCGAGTTGATTAAATTCAACCTTTGTTGGATTGACTATCAAGTTTATAATTTTTCAAAATAAAACAACTCTAATCAAATTATATATATTTTTAAGGATTTCAAACACTATTTTTTGATAAATATACTCCAATTGTTATTCTGAATTTAAGGGGATAATGTAGTATTATTATTTAAGTTATTGACTCTATAATTCAAACAGGACAAACTTCTTCATCAAGTTTGCTTAATTTCGGTTTATTAAACAATATCTATCTCAAATTAATTAATTTTGATTTTTAGGATTTTTTTTGTCTAAGACTCCTAATTACATCATTGTATTCAACCTTACCAGACAAGGAAGATTGCTCCGTATTTAAGTTTATGAGACGAAAAATAAATTTTATAACATCTATGTCAAAAGTTAAGATTAGAATTATTTGATATTTAAAATTATTTCACTTTTATTATTAAGTTTTGCTAACTTTTACTGAGGATAAGTAATTAATAATAATAAAATTTTATTAAAAAAAATATTTATTATATTTTTATAACTTCAATATAATAATTGTATATCTTTTTTATAAAATTGTTTTATTTATAATTACTTAAACTTAACCTTTAAAATTGAGGTTAACAAAACTCTTTATTCTTTCATCAACAAAATTATAAAATTTTCTTTTTTAGAGAATTTTGATACTATTTTAGTTTCACAAAAATAGTTAAATTTATCTCTTATCTCCAAACTAATTAGTCACCTTTAACTTTAACCATAGAAATTAGTACAAAGTTTAATTATAGTGACAACTCAAGTATAAAATAGATAATATTATTTTCTCTTAATCTAACCCAAAACACTACATAAATTGTACCCTTGTATTGTGTTAGGACATAGATCCAGCAAACAAAAACTCATGAGAATTTTATTCATTATTATCTCTCAAAAGAAATTTATGATAGACCCATTTACTCATTATCCAGCCCTTGAATAAAAAAGTATACATTCTTCTATTTTTCCTCATTTTATAATATAATGAGATCATCAACTTAATAATCTTTTAAAAAAATTCTTTTAAGACAAACACTTTAAAAGCGTAACTTTTTTAAAAGAAAGGTTACAAATGCATTATTTAGCATGTTTTATAATATAAATTATATAATTGTTAAAATTGATTTAAAATATAAAAAATTAAATTAAAAATAAAATCCATGTAACGTTTATAATTTTAAAATAAACCTTAATTAATAACTAAAAATGTCTTACAATTTTTTTTATTTCTTTGTTCAATAATTTGACATTTTAGAAGAGATAAAGTAAATAGTTTATTTAAAAAAATATTTTTTTATGCGTATTTTATACTACTTTCTATCTCATTTTTTTTTGTTAATAAATAGGGCTTAACACAGCTCAAACAACAACAAAAAATTAACTACAGACTCTAGGTTAAGCAAAGTTAAGAGAGTCCAATTTTAACCGAGGTTTCAAAGAAGAAAGAGCTAAATCTAGCTAGCAACAACTCATTCTTTCTTCATGTCCTAATCTAGTCATCCAATCTGCATATTGGTTAACTTTTTGAGGGATATGGCTGAACCTAACATACTTGATATTTCTAAGGAGAAGCCTTATTTCCTGAATAACAGAAAATAAAGGGTGATTACTATTTTGAACAGTAGTAACTAAAGAAATAGCATCTTTATAATTAGATTCAATCCAAATCACATGAATTTGTCTTTGTATCACTAGTTTAAGGCCCCGACCAATGACCCAAAGCTTGGCAACAAGAGGAGAGCAAAACTGAATGGAGGTGTGAAAACTAACTATAAAAGCTCCTAAATTTGAGTTCCCCACAGCTTACAACCCTTATATCATACTAGACTGAACCATCAGTATTCAACTTAAATTGATTCTCCAAAGGAGGATACCATTTGATTAGAACAAGGGGCTCCAATCTAGTAACGGCTGAACACACCTTATCCTGTTACAAGAATAAAAATAATCAAACTCATAAAATTTTGTTTAGCAAACCATCAATGTATAAAGCCAAATTTTGCAAAATAGCATAATTTCTATTAGTCCACAAATTATAGACAACAAAACCAAACAAGACAAGCAAAAAAGGATATATTAAAAAGTTCTAGACAGAAATATTAAACTTTATAAGAACAAAAATCAAGGGATTCAGGGTTAGATAGCACCTTGGTCGACACATGGTCTGCAAGACGACAATCTTCTTGCCTTCCTTCCATTTCTAGCCTCGACAAAGCCTTTGAATCAAGCTTCACCTTCTTTGTGCTTCAGTCTTTCAGATCCAGCTCTTCCTTAGATCTTTTCTCCCCATCATTTTGTTCCATCTCTTTAACCTTGTTGGGACGAGAGCCTAGAATCAACTTGTAGAGACCCTGGGATGATCGCTGTTAGTTTCCTTGACAATAGTGGGCTCATATGTGCTCTAAATGCTAGGGCGAGAGCCCTAACAGTGCCGACCTTCTTTCTTGAAAGGTTGAGATCTATTTCTTGAAGAAACCCTTAATTGCGGTCTTTATTTGATTTTACCTACAATATATTATCTCATTTTTCTTTTTTTATTATATGATTCATCTAAAGTATCACTGATTTTTTTTTTGGCATGTCTTTCTCTTTAACAAAAAATAATAATAATAGTGACATGATGCACACATTATATGTAACCAAAAAAACACAAATTACACACTCAAAGAGTAGCTTATTAAATGCAATTTGAATAAGATTGAAGCCATCGACATCGACAAACAAAAGCAAGAAGGGCAAAAACACCAAAGTTCTTGATGATTTTTTATTTCGGATCATTATTAGTACAACAATAGATAGATCAAACAATTGCAAGCAAGAACTTATTGAACCTTAAAACAAGAAGAAAAGACAACAAAAAAAAGGGAACCGAAACAGAGCAAGCATAAGCACAAACATTGAGCCTAAGTTCTACCATCATCAAGCCTAGGAAGCAAATCTTTTCTTCAAATTCTGAATTGTGGCAACATCTGTCTTGAAGGCCAAAGCCAAGACAGTGTCATCAATGGAGGTATTGAACAGTGTATTGGGTAGTGAAATTGTGCCAGCATTGGCACTTCCAAAGGCTGATATAGCCACAGCAGGATTTTTCTCATCAGCATTGTGTTGGAAGTGGACAAGACCCTTAGGGAACACGAACATGTCCCCAGTTTGAAGGCTTTGAGTGTAAAGCTTATTGGTTGTGTCCACAAACCCAACTTGAAGAGCACCCTCAACAACAAAGAGAAGTTCAGCTGAACGAGGGTGAGTGTGTGGTGGGTTAATGCTCCCATTTGGGTATTGAAGGACAGCATAAGACACACTTTGTCCCATAAGGGCAGGGAACTCAGCCATGCTTGCCTTCGTTACCTTAAATGTTGGGGGTGGTGTGTTTTGTCCCACAAAGACACGAAACCCAGTGAATGTGAAGAAGTTCCCATCTGGGTTACCATTTGATGGGCCTATGAAGTCCGTGAGTATGTCTGGGTCACCACCCATTGTTATCTGCACAATTGCAAATGTTGATATGATCAATGAGAAAATTTTCAAGGTAGAGGTATTAGACATGGTTTATTGAAATTAATATTAATAAAGGCAATGATTATTAATGGAAGAAATATGTGCTTGAAATTTAAGGTTTGATTTGTGTCGATATATATAGGGGTTGGGAATTTTGAGAAGGGAAAGTGGGAGTTTGTATGTATATGCATGACATTGGGGCGATGCCCACAAGTGGAGATTACAAAGTAACATTGGTTGTAGTTTGCAGCTGTTAGTGTTTTGTTTAGCACGTAGAAGACACCAATAAGAATGTCAAAAATGCGACTTTGAAGGAACCTTCCTTGTCCTGTATTTGATTAGGTTCATTTTTAGAGTTGATCCTCATCTAAGCACGGCTTATGGGAATGTTTTACTTTTGTGTTAACAGATGAAAAATATATTTTTTGTTATGCACAGAATATAAATTTAAGTTAAAAAGTCTTGTAATTTATTGTCAATATACTAGTGAAGATTTGGTTGCAACTTGATATCAACCTATCAATTCTCGCATACTTAATATGCATCAACTTTAATTATTTTCAAGTTGAACCAAATTCAGCTAGGTTTGATTGGGTCCTACCCATACCTTGACGAGTATGTAGTATATATATACATGCCTTTAATTTAAAGATTTTTTAAAACATGTGTCTGAGAAAATATAATAATGAATATCATAAAAAACATATAATATTATTAAATTATGAAACTTTGATATTTTAATAAAATTTATTGCCCTTTGTGTACTTTCAATTTGATAATCTTTCACTTTAATCAACCATGAAGAAGAAGTTATAAACTTGAATACCACACACACACATAAAGAAATTAAGAGACATCAGTTATATACTCTCATTTTTTCACTTAGTTATGTTTTACGATTAAAGATTCTTTTACTATTTTTTCTTACAAAAATTAGTTTTATCATCTAGAAAAATATTTTTGGTTCACACTAAAGCTAAATTATACTATTTAATAAAACTTGAAATAAAACTGAGGATTGTTTTACAGTTTAATTTTTGTTTTGACATGTACTTTTGACTACATTATCAAGGCCGTTATCCGGGATCTCATGTCGAAGGTGAGAAAGGAATTTTACAAGTGGGAAAATAATTTACACTATTTTAACATAGTAATTAATGAAACTAATTTAAATAATAAATGAGTTAGAGATATTCAATTGATAGTGTATGAAGAACTAATAATGTCTATATACTGTAATTATTTTTTAAAAAAATTGTATTTGTTTCAATCTTCGTTAAAATCATTATAAATATTAACTAGCTAGTGTCTTTAAATCACTAGTTAAGAAATATGAAAATATTAAAAATTATTACTAATGCACATCCTTCATAATTTTTAACATATTTTTACCATATTTATTTTTTAGCAATATTCTTAAAACATTAATTAGCAAGACAAAAAGAACCCACAAAACTTAAGGTGATTGCACCACAGTATATTTGTTAGCAGCATATTCTGCTCTGTTTTCAACGTTCTTTGTTCAAAATTTTGCATGCTAGTCGAAAAGATAAGAAGAATGATCTTTGCAAACATCAGATCAGCTGGGCATTAAATGTTAGCTCATTTGGGAAAACGACGATTGTGACAAACTGGCAGCATCCATTATCAGTAAAAAAAAAGTTTCACATTAGTCCTTTTCTATGTTGCCCATTTCACCATGAAATGATAAGATTATAGAGGTACTTATATAAGTTTTCAATTCATGATTATCAATAAGTTTAATCAATCAAATATAAAAATATTACTTTTGGTCTTCTTAATAAGATTTTTTAACAAAGTTTACTTTGGTCTTCTTATAAACAAAAATTGTCCATTACATTAGCTTTTTATTAAAAAAATTAATTAAATATGATAAATTAATTTTTAAATCTCTCTCTCTTTCATGAGAATAGAGGATGGAGATTAACCAATTAGGTTAAAAGAAATTAAAAATAATTTTAAATAAATTATTTACAAATTTAATACAATTAACTATTTTTTAATATTTATAAAGTGATTAAAGAGGTTTTATATATAGAATCAAATATAGTATTGTATTAATTTATAAATTTACCAAGTATCAACTTTATTTGGTTTTTATTTTTGTATTTAGGTACTGAAATAACTATTTTTAAGTAAGATTAAAATAACTAATGTTTAATAATTTCAAAAAAAAATTAATACTTATAATCTAATTTTTTATTACTGTTAGGATTTGTTTGGTGATCATAAATAAAATATGATAATGTGTATTAAAATTATAAATTAGATCATTTATATTTTATAAAATGAGTAATATATTTTTTAAAAGATATTTTATATCTTGAAAAATATTGTTTATTAAAATAATGTTTATATAATGTTTTTTATAAAAATATTAAAATGATATTTTTAAAATAATTTTTTATCATATATTAAAAAGATATACATGAATAAATAGTAAAAAAAATATATCTTATTTTGATGACTTTTAACTTACCACTTTTTAAAAATAAAAATTTAAACCATTAAAGTAAAATATAATAAATTAATAGAATAAAAGGTAAGAATTGGTTAGATAGTCTATATAACATAATACTCTATTAAATTTATATTACTTGAATCAATGACGTGACAGTGTTGATACCAGTTCCATAGCATCATTCTATATTTGTTAAATTTTAAAACATTAGTACCGATGATGCAATGAAAAATAAAAATTTGTTAACGATATTTTATAAAAGTGATAAATTATTTGACACGCATATTTTGATAATAATTAATAAAATTATTGTGACAACTTATAAAAACAGATTTCTTATAGTGAATAAATACAATTTATTTTTATTTTATTCTATTTCATTCAATCTAATCTCAAATAGTATTATTAAAAAAAACTTTTCATACTAATTTAACCGCTATTGACATGAAGTGCATTTTTCTTTCTCGTGAAAAAAATGTATATTCGTATATTTATATTTTGGAAAGATAATTCAGGAAAAATGAAGAACTAGAGTGTTTTTTCTTTTTTTAAAGTGTAAAACTTAAGTTGCTCTAGTTAAAAGAAAAGGATTCGACATGAAGTATATAAATAGATGCTAGTGAGTGTAGATTTGATACCAAAACCCCTTGAAAGGGCACCCTTAAATGGAACAAATCCGGAAGCATGTTGCGTTGTTCTACTTTGTGCTGCTGTTTCATCATCTTCTTCTTCCGGTCAATTCAGAACACCAAAGAAACCCCTCGCATACAGGTACTACAGCTCGTAGCTTTATTTTATTCATATAATTCTGATTTTCTAAACTATAGTACTGCTTATTTTATTCGCTATATAGCACGTAATTGATAATTTACCAAACTCCAGATGATTATGTGCATAATAGTCGAAAATTGTACTGGTATAAACTACAAGATAAAAGAAAAATTTAGTTCTATACGTTGAGTAAAACAACATATTCACTACAATATATATTTACTTTACGAAGTTTTTCCACTAAAAGAAATAGAGTCTAAGCTGAAAAACTAACAAAGCCTTAAAAAATATTCATCAATTTTGAAGTTATGTGATCTTGTGTATGATGAAGCGTTCTTCTGCATATCACTGCGATATATATCCTGATAATGTAAAGCAGACATAAATTCCCTTTTTCTGTGCAAGCAACATATATTCCTAACATTTTTCAGTTGGGTGGATGACATATGTTAATATTATATGCTTAACCTCAAAACAAAGCAACCATTTTTTTCATTTTACTGTAGAGAAATTCTACCGTGCAAGGATTTTGATTAGGATATAATCACATGTAACGTCAATTTATTCATGTAATATTAATAACATGTTAATATATTAGTATATGAAATGTATGAGGATTATATTAAATAATAAATTGAAATTAAATTCAAATATTATTTTGCAGATATGGCTAGGGCAATGGTTATAAAAAGTTCAGTAATTGGAGTAAATAGGCGTGGTGGTGGTGGTGGTGGTCATGCAAGCATCACGGGAATGCATGGCGGGGGCAATGGTGAGCATGGCAATTTGCCACACCCAGTTGGTGGTGCTGAAGACTCGAATCATCATAAGAACAAAAATAAACACCATGGGAAAAGCAATGGCACATTAAACTACGTTTACTTTTATCATTACCTTCTTTTGTTTCTTTCTATTGCTACCATAGTTTTCCTATATATATAAGTAGAAGGCCTGTGTGTGTTGTGAAACTCTGTTTCACATAATAAAATTTTTCTTCCTTCTTCTAAAATTGTCCCGCAATGTGTATAACTCCCACATAATTGGTGTGTCTCGATCATATTTTATCCAACTTTTATGTAAGTATACTACATGATTTATGAAATTCATCTTAATTATTTCGTGAAGTAAATTATCCTGACATAATTGGAATAATAAATTAAAACACTGTCCTAATTTTTTATAAATAAGATTTCATTAATTTAACTAAGATGTTAAAAAAACTAAAAATGCCATGGTTTTTCCCTTTTGGTCGTAAAAAATGCTATATTTTTCGTTCTCCTCTTTTCCCTTCCATTTCTTGCTAGCTCTCTTTATTTAAAATGCATTTCAGTTTGGCTTAAAAAGCTGTTCAAATATTGAGTAAGTTGAACTAAAAAAAAAAAGAAATACAATTTTGAAATTCAACTCTGCATAAAAAATAAGTTATCCCTGACACACAAGCAATATTTGGTCGTACACGATCACATCCTAATAAAGTAAAAATAGATGTTTGTAATATTTTTTTATTAGTTTAAATTTATTAAAAATTATGTGAATATTATTTTTTAATTTAATAAGTCACATCCATATATTTTATAAATTTAAATAATTTTTCATTAAAAATTAAGAATTAGTTTAAAATTATATTTTTAACACTCTTTAATGGAAAAATATAATTTTGCAATTTTAAGTCTCTGTCACTATTGAGTAAAATACTGTAACATTTTAATTTTTTTATTAGATTGCGTTAACTTGTTCAGATACACTAAAATATAAAAAATAAAAATATATTTAAACAAAAATATATCAACAAAGTGTTTTATTATATTTTTAATTGACTAGGAAAGTCAAGTAACTTTTCAAGTTTGATCGAAAACGGATTACAAACTCTCGTACTGTTCTTACAAGGGAAGGGCGTTACCGTAAAATCACGTGTTCCTCTCATCTTCCCCCAATCAGCAATCACACTCACCCACGTTCTTCTTCACTGTCCAACTGCATAAAAAATTGCAGCGACGATGGGGAAGAAGGTAAAATGGAGTTGGAGTTCAGCGTTAATCGGAGCAGCTTCAGCAGTAGCAGCAACAACGATTCTATCAGCAAAACCCAAAGACCCAACGTTCCACCTCATATCAATCAATTTCACTTCCCTCAAACTCAACCTTCCCCTCCTCGACGCAGAGCTTCTTCTCACCGTCCACGTCACCAACCCTAACATCGCACCCATTCACTACTCCTCCACCACTATGTCTATTTTCTACCAAGGTTCCCTCCTCGGCTCCGCTCAGGTTCAAGCCGGCTCCCAGCCGCCCCGCTCTTGCCAGCTCCTTCGCCTCCCCGCTCGCCTCCACGCGCTCGAACTCGCTCACCACGCCAATCGCTTTGTCCACGACGTTGCGAAGCGCGAGATGCTGCTTGACGCCGCCGTTGATATTGCCGGCACCGCCAAGGTTCTGTGGTGGGACCACCATTTTAAGGTCCACGTGGATAGCCGCGTCACCGTTGATCCAGTTTTTCTTGACGTCATTGATCAGGAAAATACATCTGAACTTGAAGTCTTTACCGCTGCGTAGGGAAGTGAGGAATGAAGTGTATCCAAGTGAGAACTGGGAATTGTTTTGTTTCGCTTTGGAATTTTCGAATTCGAATTTTCAGTTTCATTGTTTGAAAAATGTTTCGTCTTTGATGTTTTGTGCTCTTCAATTTTCGATTAATTATTGATGAAAAATGAGCAATTGGAGTTAGTTAGAGGAATGAGATGAAAAAAAAAAATAATCATAGTTTATTTAGACATTGTTAGGATTGTTTTTAATTATAGATTAAATATTTTTAGTAAAAGGTTAATACTATCATAAATTTAAAAAAAAAAAAACATTGAGAACGGAATAAAAGAGTAGGTTTTTATAGGGGAGATTGTCATGTTCGAGGAATAAATGATCCGATTTATGTTAAAATTTTGTATACTTTTTAATAAATATTATATAGATTTTATTTATTACTTTCAATTTTTTATATAAAAAATATATAATTTATTAACATTAATTAAAAATAATTATATATCATAAATTTATAATTTAATTTAAAAATATTTATAGTATTAATTCATATTGTACACACTAAATGGAGAATATGTTTAATTATACAGGTAAGAAAACAATACTTTGTTAACTTAAGTTTCACAGTAAATAAAAATATAAAAATGATTTAGTAATTAATAATAATAATTTTTTATAAATAACAGATAAAATATTTAATATTCATAAAAAAAAAACTGACGTAAAATTTAACTTCTTGGATGACTGAGAAATTAATGGTAAGTCTCACTTTATTTTAATGTGTTTTCACTTCATCTTTCATTATTTTTTTCACTTGAAGGGTATAAAATGATATTCTTATAAAAGTTCGGTATGAAAAAAAGAAGAAGAAGATCTAAACGATTGTTTACTTGAAACAAAAAAGTTTCAGATAATGTGAAAAAAATGAAAATGCAATAAAATTAAAAATATTACTAATTAATAATTACCGGGTTGCAGATATTTGGATTAACCATTTTAGCTTCGGAGAAATCAAGGGACAGCCACGAGAACGGATGGCACAAACTGAACTAGGGTTCAGACTGAGAGTGAGACTTTTGGCACATTAGTTTTGTGTGCTGGAATTCAGAGTAGCTATATCCTCAAACTGTTTATTTCCAATATATATTTTTTAGTCATTATTTTGTTTATTTTTCTCATGAATCAAATAAAATTTAAAAATTACATTTTGATTTTAATTTTAAGAAATGTCAAATTATCCTATTATTTTAGCATATAAATATTTTTACAGACATAAAAGTAAGACTTGTCTTTTTGAAGAAAAAAATAACAGTTTTTAAAAGATACATGTGTGTGTATATATATATATATTGAACATAAAATAATTTAACATTTTTCTAAAAATTTTATAAAGCAGGCCTTGTGAATTAATCCAAACACTTGGGTGAGAATGCAAGGGCTGGCAGAAGAAAAACCTGACCCAAATTCCAAACAGCAGAATAGTAGTTCCAAACGTTGCCGTATTTAAACTCTCCAGGGAACGCATAAGCGCCTTCGAGAAGTAGAAGCAGAACTCACTCACGCATTGCTTCTTGCCTCATACGAAGCCACTCTCTGCTCTCTACTGAACTGAATCGGTAATTATTCATCATCTTCTTCTTATTTTGAACTAAAACATTTTAGATAATTTTGTTATTGTATTTTGGAGCGTTCTCCAATCCGTGTCTAAGAAATGCCTGAAGAACGCAATGCTTAAAGCTTGGATCACGTTTTTATATCTCTCATTTTCTGAATCTATCAACGATCTCATTCTGTTAATCACCTCGTTTCATCTTATTATTCCACAATAAACAAAGAATAATTTCGCCTTCGTTCTTTGCATTTGTACTTTTCGTTACGATGTACCAATTCTCCTTGAAGTTGTTGTTTTTTTCTTTATTTTTTCCCCTTCTATCCTGAGAATTTTAGCAGGATTATCGGTGCTTATTCATCATCGAGGTATATTCCAACAAAAATAAATATACAGGTTTTGGGGGAAAACTTGACGAGGATCTGTATTTATGTGCATAATCCGAGATTGTTGATATTTTTCCTTTCTTGTGAAATGTTTGGGAATATGTGGTATTGAGCTTTGATACCAAATTGTTTTTAATTCTTAAATGATATGCAAAGCAAACTTACCATTTGTTAAATTATTTACAGAAGAGAAGAAAATAAAAATTAACTGCGATGGCAACACGGTTGGCGGCAAGGTTTGCACCTAGAAGGCTATTTAGCAGTGGCACTGGGAAAATACTTAGCGAGGAGGAAAAAGCTGCAGAAAATGCTTATTTTAAGGTAATCTTGAAAGCTGCTATATGGTGCAGTAGTATGTGCTTATTCGTTTACATTTGAGGTGCCCCTTTGTAGTTAGGGACGTAAGTAGTATTGTGTAATTTGGATTGGATTTGCCATTCTAGGGTTTCAAATGTTCCTTGTATAGTACATACTAGCTATATAAGCTTTCGTATTGTTAGATATAACACCATATCACCAAACGGCTTAAAATTTTGGGACAATTGGTTCATTGCAAGTATGATATGTTTTAAATTCAGACACGATGTTTTAAGTACTTCTATAACGTGCTTATAATCTGTGTTGAAACCAGTTCTTGTGAAAAATTGCAGTTAGCATGCAATGTTAATAATCAAATGTGATACACTGTTATGTTAGCTTAGGCCGTCTTATGTGTTCTTTGTACATGTTGTGGAATGCTAAAGGAATATTTCAAGTTCAATCAATTATTTTTATGTTATACATTAATCAATTCAAACGTTGAAGATAGTCTTACAAAGTGTTAGGGCATATTAAGGAAGTGCAAGCACTACAAAATAGGAGCTGTGTCGTAACCATGTTGGACATGAATCCTTATCTGAAATTTAATGAATATGTTGAATACTCCTAGCTGCATTTTATATTTTTTTCACTGTTATTTTTAAATGCATATTAGAATAACACAATAATTAGATAAAATATAATATTTAAATATATTACAATAATTCATGCTCATTTTTAAACATCCATTCTATCTTTTGATTAAGATTTGTGTTTTAGATTTTGTATTATTTTTATTTGCTGTATTGTAACCAAGTTGTGTGCTATTATTTTTATAATATGCTGTATCCCCCTGTCCATGCTGTACTTATCAGTATCTTGTGTTACTACCATCCAATAAGATGGTTGCTTTTGTTGGTAGAGTTTTTGTGCATCAATAGCGGATTGTGTGTTGGGCATTTGCTTATTTTTCCAATTGCAGAAAGCTGAGCAGGAGAAGTTGGAGAAGCTTGCTCGCAAGGTATATCCTTGAATTTCACCCTCTTCCCAGTCTTTATAATTTTTTTATATTTTAAATCAGGATAGTATATTGTGACTTCTTGAAAATACTTAACTGTTAGGTCATCAGCAACCATTATTCTGTGTTTAGTTTTCTGATTGAGGATTTTTACCAGTTTTGTGGCTGGTAAATGGATGGGTTGTATTATATAGAATATGGGCCTGGTTTGTTCAAATGATCTAGAAATGATTTGTTTACCCATATTGGCAATCAATATATGTGTCCCAAACTATTTATTTTATTTTTTAATAGAATATGTTACCCTGTTATGGACAAGCAATAAATTATTTTCAGGAGAAACTTGTAATTGGATCTATTACACACTTGATATATATGCAAAAAAATAATAAAAAATAAAAAATACCCAATTATTTGGATATTTCTATTGGGCCTAATAGATTCATTATATATTGTCACGGTCTAGGCATGTATCCACAGATAAGGGATGTCTTCGTCTGCACATTATCAACTCAAAGAAATACTGACCAACATATTAAGTCAATTAGCCTATTAGACTGACTGTATTCCTTCTAGAGACTGATGCTACAAGTAGATTTACTATTCATCATCTCATTTTTGCACGGTGGTGGACCATTTCCCAAAAAGATAATAGTGATAATATGGATGCTGGTTGGCCATCTTGCAACATTTTGATTTTAGAATCAAAGCTATAGTCAAATGTACTGTATCTTCGGAAACACATGCTTGCAAGTCCTAACACATACTGCTGTGGTTATATAGTTTGATTACTGTTTGCCAGTGCCAGAGTATGCTTTTATGATGTGTGGAGTGCAGATTGCATATTACATTAAATAATTTTGATTGCTGCACTTAGTGAGGTCCCTTGTCAATAGCTTCGTTTTGTCACCTGATTGTGATTGGTACCATGAACTGATTAATGAAAGGAATGGATCAACGAAATGTGATTGTATGTAAGGTAACCCACGGAGACAGGAACAACATATTTTTCAGCAGTTGGTGCTTGGTAAAGTGGAAAATTGAAAAACTGGCCATTTTGGCCAATAATTTTCTTCGCAGAAATTAACAGAATAAAGTGTGAACAAAATACTTGTATTATTTCCTCTCAAGCATTAACTCACATAACCATTTTGCTTCTCTGATGAAAATTGCAGTTTCATTTCCCCTTTCTTAAGCAACTGACTTTGGGTTTAATAATTTTAAGGTTAAAATGAAAGTCAATTGCATTTTAATTCCGCTGTCTACTATAACTAAAGGATGAAATATCTTGTCACTTCTCTTTTCTACAGAATTCAATAGACTTGAAGGATTTCGCGAGAAAATATTATCACTTTCTGTATGCATTTTTGTATGAATATCATACTTTGAATTAATGGTAGCATATTCTTATATAGGGTCCTCAACCAGAAGCAAGCACGGCCGCGGGCTCAGGGGGTTCAGTAACTGATGCCAAACCAAGTGGCTCCGGATATACTGGAACATCAGCTGACAAAGTTTCAACTGACAAGTACCGGAATTATGCAGTGGTAGCTGGTACTATAACAATTTTTGGTGCTTTGGGGTGGTATCTTAAAGGCACTGCAAAGAAGCCAGAAGCGCAGGATTGAAGATTTCAGCCATGCATGTCTCTCTCTCCTCTTGGTTCTGGTTGCAGCAGTTGCGCGAAAATAAATAAACACACATCAACTCCTTTTATTCCATCGTACAATTATCATGAAGTACTATTGTGTTTCATGTTTTATGCATCACCAATAGATTCCCGATGCTACTTAGCATGATGCGCATCAGAATTTATTTACTTTCACTCGTTCAAATGACCTGTGATTTGATCACTTGCATTTGCCCTTTATTGACATGGTTAGATAGCGTATAAATGTAATATTGAGCGGGAAGGATATTTGGAACAGAGCTCGTATTCATCTGTTTGACCCCATTCATCCAATCATTGGTGGTTGCGTTTCAATTTTAGGTAACTGTGCCGTTTAGTTGTTAGTAATTTTTATTCTTTAAGCCGTAGAAACTCGAGCATAGGGCAGAGAAGAAACGATAGTCGTTAGGCAGAAAGTTGCGATACCACTTATAACAAATTTTAGATCAGATAGAGAATATCATTAGTTACTCTATGCTTGGATTGGATGAGAGGAAATAAAATAGAAAAAAAAATACCAGTTGATGTATTTTTTTTTATGGCTTAAATACGAAGTAATGTACCGGTATCTCTATATATTCACTCTTGAATAATGCTGACCATACACTCCATTTTTGAGATATGCGAAATAGAAAATGATAATAATATTAAATGAATAACTATAATAAATAATGTGATATAATTAAAAGAATGAGATAAAAAAGAATATAAAATAAAAATACATAGACATAATTGCTGTATATACATCTAATTATTGTGCTTTAAAAAAAATTCAAAATATGGCTTGAAATGTATTGTCATTTATGGGACGAAAAAGACACGAACATGTACAAAATTTCCACACTTGTTTTTGTTTTTTGCAATCAAGTGGCTTTGGCATCAATCTCATTGACTTGAATCTGTTACATTCTCATCATTTTCTCTTCCCATATTTTCTTCTCCCTCGTCTGTATTTTCTACGTCACCATAATCTTCTTCATCTTCGATGTTGTCATCATCAGCATCATCATCGTCATCATGATGATCAGGCTGAACAAAGTGAAGCTTCAACCTCCCATCTTCTCTATGAGCATGCAAAAATTCGTGGGTGGGTATCCTTATTTCTTTAAGCACAAACCTCCCATTGTCCCTATAAGACATGAAGCTGACACAAGGCTTCCCAGTCTTCCCTATGCACGAAATAGGAGGAGGGTACTCCCCATAAACTCTTGACCTTGTTCTCCATTCCCCATGACAACAACAATCTTCCATAGCTAAATGCTTTTCATTCCCACCTTCTTTCTCTCTCTGATGACTTTCCCAGCATTCACCACTATTCACCCCATTAATCTTCAAGTCTTCAACATCATCAGAGCTTTCAGAACCAAGACCCTCAGTGCAAAGATGCAAATTTTCAGAACTCAAGGATGAAAAGTTGTCACTACTTTTGTGACTCTCAAGGTGCTTTGTTGTTGGGGTGCTTGAAGATGGGGTTTGGCTAATATGTTGATTATTGCGCGTGAGGTTTCTGTGGTTTATCTTTGAGAATGATGAAGAGGAAAAAGAAGGAAAAAGTTTAGGACTCTCGTTGAAATGGAGTTCACCAAATATCTCAGTGAAGGAGGAAGAGTGGTGGATGGATTTGATTTGGCCCCATGAGAGGGATTCGAGAAGTGTTGGGTTTTCTGGTAATGATGGGTTTTCAAAGATGTGTTGTAGGCTTCCACAAGCTGACATGACTTAATTAGCTATAATATTCCACTAGTATTCTTCAATTTGAATAGGTTGGTGTCATTTCTGTAGAGAAACCATGCATGCAGCATAGGAAGAAATAAATAAAAGAAACAAATGAAGGGGTCTTAAGCTTTTGGTTGTTGAGAAAGGAGGAAAAAGAGGCACGAGAATACCATGAAGTGATGAGAAAAAATCAAGGGGAATATGCTATTGTGTAGGAGGCTGTGATTTTCGGTATCTTTTTATCCGATGATGTGGGAATATGAATGGGTGGTTACAAGGCTTAGCAAGGATTTGGTGGCCATAAACGTCTATAGCTTTAGTCATTAGTATACTGAGATGTTTAGACCAATATACACTCTCAGATTTATCGTATATCTAATTTTTTTTCCTATAATATCTGGCATCTGTTTGGTCAATAAAATAGAATTAAAAAAATATTTGAAAGCTGAATAAAAATAGGTAAGAGTAAAATAAACTCTTATCTTATTTTATAAATAATATATACATATATATAATTTTATTTTATTTATTGTTAAGTTAGAATTTTATAGAGTTAGATTTATATTAAAAAAAGATAAAATGAGCATGTAAAATAAACTTATCATATTTTTTTTTTCTATTCAACTTATCATATTTTATTAGTTAAACAAAAATAAAAAAAATCATATATTATTATATCTTATCCGTAAAAAAAAAAATATTGTCTGTAACTCTAGTCTGTTATCTCTCTTATCTTTTAGTTGTTTCACAAGAAAAAAAAAACTAAAATTTGAATTGTCGAGAAAACTACTGGAAAACAAAACTAATATTTTGTTTTTCAGTGTTAATTTTTTTCTTTATTTGTTATTCAAACAAAAAAAAATCATTATTTATTATATCTTTCGTTTTTATTTGATTTCTTTTTATCTAAGCAAACAATGCATAAGAATTTAAAATTCTTCTAGATGGTTGAGTTTGCAGGTTTAATGGTTTTGAAAAGTGATAGTTAATTTCTTTTTGGTATGTTGTAAAGTAATAAATAAATGTTAGGATATAAAAAAATTTATTTAATATGAGTGAAAATACTAGGAAAACTAAAATTAACAATGAAGTGTTAAAGAAAAAATTAGAATAAGACTTAATAAAAGTTAATATAATTTCATCTTAATTCTTTTAGATGTGTGAATAATACCTATAAAAACTCATCTTAATTATACCATATATTTGTCATGCTTTTAATGAAAAAAGAACACACTCTAGGAAGACTAACAAGGTTTTTGGATAAGATTTAATCATTGCACTTTTGGTCACCGTATTAATGACTAGTACTATGTATGTGTCTAGGTTGAGGAAATATTATGCAGCCTGATTTGACAAATCAAATTTAACGAGCGTTTCTTTTGAAGGATACCAAGCTAATGTAACAATCAAAGGAATGGAGTTTCAATGCTCATTTGAGGGTAAAGTGCATTCCAATCATCTTGAAGTAAAAGAATCAGCTGCAACTCAGGTGTTGACTGACTGAAGAAGAATGGCAAAATCGGCCCAGCAATGTTGGAAAGCTTAGAAATGGCATGCTTCCCTTGTGATTCTTGATTTTCTCCTGTAGAAAAACATTATGAAGAAAACTGCAATGCTCATACAGCTGCAATTTCTTTAAGGACCATGATGTGATGCTGGAATTTGCTGGCACCAGCGTGCAACAGCTCGCATATGGTAGATAGGATTACTGTCAATTCTTCCCACGGTTTCTTCTTGTTTGATCATTATGCATTATTATTCCTAAAAAAAATTATGTAAAATTATAAATTTCATCACTTTCTTTTATTTAAATATCAGTTTAGTCTATTATTATGTTCAGTCTTGGTCTTAGTCTTGTTCTTGTCCTTACTCTTGCTCTTGGTCTTTTTCTTTTTCTTGGTCTTGATCTTGCTCTTGTTCCCGGTTTTATCTTGGTCTTGTTATTATTGGTATTGGTCTTGGTCTTTGTAATGGTTCTTTGTAAATTCAATTTCTATTGACAGAATATGAATAAGTAGAAAGCATATAAGTGAAGAATTTCTCTAGTTAATTTATATTCAATGGTAATTGTGAGAAATTACACTACAAAGGCAAAGCAAGAAAGTGTAGTACAAAATTTAGAAAATTACAAATAAGCTAAGAAGAAGAGACAAGTCAGATATAAACAGAAAGAGAAAAGAGGTTCACCAAAATTACCTACTCCCTAAAACTTTTCCCCCACTACACAGATATTATTATTAACTGTCCCTAAACCGCAAAGGAACCGAGTTACACTTTGTTATGTCTAACCGCATTATTCTGCCCACTATCCTCCACCTTAACCATCTTAATCTTGGTTTCTTGATCTTGGTTTGGTCTTGTTGATGGCCTAGTGCTTAGTCTTGGTCTTGGTTTTGTTCTTGGCCTTGGCCGTGCTCTTGGTCTTTCTCTTGGTCTTGGTGAGAGAAGTGATATTGATGCCATGAACTATAGGGAAAGATTGTATGGTTTGAATCAGAAAAGTAATACTTATATATATATTTTTGCCTTACTTTCCTCCTACTCTTACGTCCCCTTTTTTCTCACTTTCCTTGGTTTCTATAAAGCCGATGGGAGCATGGCTAAGTGTTTTAAACATAGGAGATTGAGGGTAGCAGTGAAGCAATGGTAATGGCAGGATGTGTGCAGTGGTAGGGAGAATGGGAGGAGCATGTCCAAGAAGATGAAAGAAAAAATCAAAATGCTGAATCCAAATGAATGAAGATTTAAGTAGAGGGTTAATGAGTCAGTACCACTTCAATCAACACAGGTTCCAGCCTTTCAGAATCTCTGTCATTTGCTTGATGCTCCAGGGAAGGCTTTGATGATACACAATCTTGTTGTGACTTGTCTTCTGCTATAAAACCCAATTTTTAATAAACTTTAGAATCCCTATTTGGACAAGAAATTTGCAGGTATAAGGTAAAAAAGTGAACAAGAAACTTTGGCCCATTATTACGTAAACAGTGCTACTGGCGAGATAGAACCTCGTGAAAGTTAATGACAAAAAAAAACCCTGAAACAATTTTCAAACCTTGTTGTCCTAATATCCCCACTTCTCCCATTCTCCCTAGCCTAGGACAACGAAAAATGAGGTTATAAATAAGTTTAAAATATTTATATCATTTACATCTTTTAACCTATTGAAAAGTGCTTTATCCAACTATATCCTACTGAAAATTTCCTTTATTCCAGCATTCCAACTATATATTTAGAGATTTAAATTCAAAACTATTGATTAAATAGAAATAACTTCACGTAAATTAATTGATATTTTTGTTACATGAATTGATTGATTTGTGTGTAATTGTCAATGCCTTAATTTACTTGTTTATATTCTACAAAAACCCATTTCATGCATATTAGATTGGGAAATTGGATCTTTGCCGCAATAGGAATTGATTAGCCTCTACTATCCCATGCATTAAGAATATTCTCTTACTTCCTTTAAACTTACCTGGTCGAAAATGGTGGATTCTCTCTCTCTCTCTCTCTCTCTCTCTCTACCTACCTACCTTATCCTTTAATATTGAATGCGTTTTGCTCGAAAAGTTTGCAAGCAATGCTTTCTTTGATGTTTCTTAGTTAATGTGTGGTTTTCCTTTCTCATAATATTAGCCAAGAGATCCTTACTTTATTAGATGTATTAATAACACACTTTTAAAAACAAATTATTAAAAAATAATACTTATTTGAAATATATTATCAAAAGAATACATTTTAAATGTAAGTTTTAAAGTATTTTTAGACTATTTTTTAATTAAAATTAAAATTTTATTTTAGTAACTTGTACAATAAAACTCATCAGTTAATATTAATGCAATTTATCAAGATAACACTTGAATTTTAATTAAAAAATAATTTAATAAATGTAATAATTCCTACTTAAATTTTGTCTTTAGCAAGGCAGTTTATTTTATTTTATGCAGTTTAAAATTGCAAGGAATTGGTAGTTTCTAAATATGTAGAATTTTAAACCACCACAAATATCCAAGGCACTTTATTTTATTTTATTTGCAATTATATATATATATATATATATATATATATATATATATATATTATTTCAATTAATCTCTCAAACATTTTTTTAACATTTTATTTACACCTTTTAATTATCAAATCATTCGGTATTTTCTTACAACACTTATTTTTTTAAAATTATTTCTCTTTATCATATCATTGATGTTATTATTATTTTTTCTTTTCTTTCTATTTATTTTTATTTTATATAAAAGATTGTACAAAATTAAAATATAACTAACATTTCTCTTTAATTATCATTAACTTCGTAAAGTGTTTGAGTCTTTAGATTTATGTTTAATTAACTACGAATTTATATTTATATTTATATTTATGTTATAAGTTGTAACTTTTATCAGTAGTGTGAATTACAAACACTACTTCACATTTTCACAAAAAATTTTATTTGATTACGGACGACCATCCTTAAACTTATGCACAAACCCATTCCAATTTCGTCATCTTAAAAAATCATGAGATGTTAAACTTACATATGCATATCTCAATTAGATTCATTGACTCTTAATAAATATAGCTAAATCAATCTAAGTAGACTAGAATTGTAGGATATTTGCCACCTTGCATGAAATGCCTCAATTTTGTCTTTGGTTTGAAGAATCGGCAAATTGAACTTAACACAGGTTCTTTTACTATTGCACAAATAAAAGCTACATTTACCTATGAGCTTAGGTATTAACAGATGCATGCCCATTCAGGAATAATAATGAGAACACAAGTAAACACAAATAGGAAATTTTATTACATTACAATGTTAGTGTTGATCATAGTGCCATTGCTGAAATCAGACAAGTTAAACAAACAAACGAAATAATAAAACTGAACCACTTCACAAACTTGTCCTTGCATAAGGTGAAACTTAAGACCCAAACAAACTTACAATGTCACAATGTCAGAATCAATTTACATTTCATCACAGCGATGCTTTGTTCACCTCCAAGCTTCTATCCTTTCTGATCTTGAATCAATGCGGCTCAAATTGCTAATACCCTTTTTCTCAACAGTCACTGTTGCATGGATCACATGTTGCTGGCTTCTGGTTTTCTTGGACCCCTTTTTAGCACTGGAATTACTAGATTGGCCAATCTTATTCTTGCCAACGTTTCCTTTGGGTGGAAACTCACAATACAAATCATCATCACAAACCAGATTCCCATAAGGGCTTATCAAACTCCCAGATTCTCCTTCAGAAGAGCTTTTGTTTTGTAGGGGCTCAGGAGAACATTCTAATACAGTTTTCTCAGAAACAAAGGTTTCCTCAGCCTCTTCATTTTCTCTGGCAACCTCATCTTGTGGGCAGGACTCCAAAAGACTATTGTCTCCATTGTCATCAGAAGGTTCTAAACAACATCCAATAGATGATTCTACGTCAGAATCCTTTCTTTCCCGCAGCGTCCTTAGTATTAGTGTCTTCAAAAAGTTCATCACTTGAACTGCATACATCAATGCAGTCAAAGGGTCTGCCATCTGCAACCATAAAGACCCATACAAAGTTAAATATATCACGCTGGCATCTTTACTATGTTATGGACAAAAACAAGTCAAAATTTCACTAGATGTAAAAGTGTTGTCACATTGACCATATAATGTGTCAAGGCACAAAAGTCTTTACAACTTTACTTACTTAGAGAATAAAACTTAAATTAGATCTCCAAGATGTCTACATGCAATTTATTAAATAAGAGAAATAAAAAATTAAGGGAACTCACATGAGTCATGTTTGGTGCAAAAACCATTGCAATGTTGCGTGCATTCATCTTATTAAGGTGTTCCTCTTGGACAACATCAGCCATCAGATTGATAGCCCAGTCTAAGAGGGAAGTTTCAGTGAGAGGTAGCTGCCTTGCCAGTTCAGCACAATCCTCTTCAGTCTGGCATTGCATTACATGCTCTGGGGATAAAGGATCCAGAACACCAGTAGGCAGTTCCCTAAACCAAGCCTTGAAAAGTACAAGAAAACCAAAATCAAATCATCATTCGTAGAGTAAAATGAGTACATAGAATAGTACATCTCTCCTCAGACCAAAACAAAATATTACATCCAGTTCTATTTATAAGAAACAAATACTAAATTTATCAAGATTAATAAAATGTAGTTATGTCATAAATTTATACTTTATTTAAAAAATATCTTTAGTATTAAATGGTCAAATTAGTGTCTTATATTTTAAATGAATGAATATATCCACTTATACGGGTAAAGGGTGGGTACCTTATTAACACAATTCTCATAATAAATAAGAGTATAAAAGAAATGAGCATTTAATGAAGGTGAAAATAAATTCTTGTTTCTCATAATTAGGATTAGAAGAATATTGATGATTATTTCTTATAAATAGGATTAGAAGTGGTAGCAAACAACAGTGACCAAGAGTATTTCCTAGCATCATGTGCCATGTATCCTCTCATTGTTATACCTTAATTAGTCCAGCCAAACAATGTACATCAACGCCTTCTGGGACCAGGCCCCTATTTAATTGATCCCTAACATATTCCTCTTGACTATTATCTGCATTAATTCTGAAAATCCCCTCTGCCTGCATAATAAATTTAACTGTTCAACCAAGCAGGAACATACAAGCGGTCATTTGTAAAATATGTTATGATCAAGTCTATGTAGTGTTTTGGCTTGTTTTAAATCATGCTCAGTTTTACATTTGATGCCATGAGAAGCTGTGACAAGGAGAAGAGAAGCTCAGAAAGATCTAGGAGATCAACCTGCAACCCTCCTTGAGCATACAAGTTCCTTTGCATTAGTAGCAGTATTGTTGGTACACTGTTCCCTCTTGAGTCGTATGATAATTGCATGGATTCTGTTGAAACTCCAAAAACAGTTGCACTACATGATAAATTTAAAAAAAAAAAAAATCACCAAAATAAAGCTTCAGATTTGTTAAATTAAAAGTATTTTGGATTATCTAAACAAGAAATTTCCATGACAAATAACATCTTTATATTCATGATAAATAAAGCCACCTACATAAATTGTACAAGGTTGACAGAACTTTCAAATATTCAAAGAAAACTACTTATACAATAAACTGCATCACAAAACATTTGTATAGTATATAACTCGTCAGAAAGTCATGATAATATCCTTAAGCACATGATAGCCAACAAGAAATCAATGACCAGAAAAATAATAATTCATCGACCATATACCATCCTTTTACCCTTCCACTTTCCAAAAAATGGAACAATTTACATATTTAAACAGGTTCAAGTGTTGAACATTATCTGGGTGCCAAGACAGCTTAAAAAAATAAAAACAGATAAAGGGCCTGGGTGTGAAGAATTGACAAAAACAGGCAATCCACAAATTAAAATCATTATTAGATAATAGATAGGGTCGTAACTGGCTTACAAAATTGTGCAGCTAGCCCACTTCAAGCGGTTTGCTAGAAAACTAAACAGGTCAAAGAGAGGAAATAACAGCTTTTGCCAAGTTACATATCTTTCTTAGCAACAAGACCAAAACAGTAAAACTCTTCAGAAACATCAACTAATCCCTGCTCCAACTAATTCAAATCCATCCCTGACTCATGCATCCTCTCTCTCTCTCTCTCTCTCTCCCCCTAATGAATAAGATGCAACTATTGTCTACTTATCCAAATTGCAAATGGTCTAATGAGAGCCTACAATTTATATTGCAAAGGTTATATAAAACAAGGAAGATAAATTAACTAGTCTTCGTTGAAAACTTCACGATCTATCCCACCCCTATAATTAATCCAAGGAGTGCCATCTAGTGACAATAATGTATCAACACGCGCGCACACGCACACACATACACATTCAGTTCCACACAATCAAACCATATATGTTAACTTCAGTAAACTTTAAATTTAAAATTTCTAAATAGTAATTATACACACCACCAATTCACATCAACACTGGGAAGAAAATATACACAGTTTGAAAGAAACTTAATAACATTATTTATACATGACATAATATATGAATGATTAAAAAAAAAAAAAAACCTATGTTATATGTTGACAACAATGTGGGTTAGTAGGTACCTACCTAGCACTGGGAGGCCTTCTGGGAACTTCAGGTTCAAATTCAACAGGCAAACCCAAGAACCCATTGAACCTATCAAAGGTGACATGCGCAACATGGCGCACGTTAGTGGGCCAACCAATCTCCATGGGACAAAGCTCTCTTCTGTCACTCTTGCAAGCAATCAATGACTTTCTGAAAAGGGTCACAAGAATGGCCAAAAGGGACAGCTCCTGCTGCGTCCTGTCACCATCACCATTCGTGACCCTCCGTGAGTCACAGCCGGTTACCGTAGAAAAACCGTCCACCACCACGGCTACAGAAGAAGAAGAAACAGAGGAAGAGGGTGGTTCTTGGTCAGTGCTAACAAGGAGAATGCCATCAGAGGAAGGACTGGTTGAAGATGAAGAAGAAGAAGAAAAATGGGGTGTTGGTGATGTTGGAGAGTGGAGAACCTCTGTCATGGTTGGCAATGAAGAAAGAGAAAAAAAAAAAAAAAAAGAACTTCTCTTGGAATATTAAAAAAAAAAAAAACTACTGGTTTGAGAAAAATGATAGAGACCCTTTAGAGAAAGAGCAAAAAAAGATTTGATTTTGATCAACAGATGGTCATTTTTTTACGTGAGAGAGAGAGAAGTTGGATCCAAGAAAAGGGTCCCCAACAATGTGGAACGTGAGAATCATTAACTTCATTTTTTAATGTTTATGGTTGTTATGTTGAACAGGTGCGTGTGTGTCTGAACGCTCTGAACAAGAAGAAGAGGGAAAGAGATGAATTAAAGAAGGTGAAATTTTACAGCAGAGCAGTAGTTAAGAGCAATAATACTGTTTGGTAGAGGGAGAGCAGAGCTTGTGTTGTTGTGTCATCTATTCATCTCATTTCCCCCATCACAAGAATCCAAAGTTTACAGGACATATGTAAAATCTGGTCTGCGATTTTTTTTTCGTTGTGAATAGATTTGATCGTATTAAGATGAATTATGCGTTTTAACTAATTTTATGTAGTTAGATTCTTTTATGTGAAACTTTTGGTTTCTTGATTGTTAGTGTTTGTTTCAAACGAAAGAAGAGAAGGAAATAACGTAAATAAAGGCAAGAGAAGAAGAACAAAAATTAAAGATAGGAAGATTTTGTTTGGTTTTGTAACTAAAGAAGAGGAGAGAAAAAAATGAATTTATTATTATATATTTAAGATGATTATATAAAATTGTTAAGTTAAAATAATTTTATTTAATATATATTTTAATTTTTTTTACTTTAAACAAATTAAAATTAAGTAAAAAACTAATTTCCTTTTTTAAATATTGAATCAAATGTAAATAATATATAAATTTTTCTCTCTCTTTTATTTTGTCTTAACTAAAAGTTATTGGTAAGAATAAAATTTAAGTATAGTATCGGACAAGTATATTACATTACAGACACCCTATCAACTTTTTTTAGAAAATAATATATACAAGCCCCTACATTATTGATATGCATCAAGGGTCTATTTAACAGTAAAAAGTTAATCTATTCTTAACAAAAATTTTATTGGTAAAGTTTTTTTTATTGAATAATTTTATTCATATAAATGGATTTTCACACGCTTCTTGTAACATTTTCATGAATGGTGAGTCACTATATAGCAATTCAACTTATCTAGATTCTTTTAGAACAAATTGTCCGGTCTTGTGATTGTTTGGTGTGTAAACATTTATTTTCGTGGTGGCAACCTTTGTTTCGGTCTTTGCATAAGGATGACTATTTTGGTGTAGTGGTGTGGCTGTTTCCTGCTGTAAGCTTAGATTCTCAAAGCCAGAGAGTAATAATTAGACTTTGAGTACAAACTAAAGAAAGTGCAACAAAATGACATTTTATTACGCGGCAAAAGCATTTGTTAGGCATCCAAATCATTGATGTATGAAAACTTTGTCGTTACTGTTCCTTCTTGACAATTATTTATGCCTTGAATTCGATAGTGCTATAATTTGGCTCTTGTTTTTGTTACTTTAGTCATTGCTACTTTTATTTTAGGGATAACCGGCACATAAATCTTTCTTTACTTTGACGCAAAAATTGATGTCTTATCCATCAGCTATTGATTAGGATATAAATAGGTATGATACAGTTGACAGTCCAATGATTAACAGGTTGGAAATAGAACCCCCAAAAAAATTGTAGACTAACCCAATGGAGATTTTTCCCTTTATTTTGAACCCAATGGAGATCTTATATCATTAGAACAATCTTGAGATTTGTGTAGACAGTGAGACTTTAGATTATGTTTAGATTAATAACACAAAGTCAAAGAGAGTTTTAACTTCAAAATTAAGAGTAAATTTTAAAAAATATTTCAATAAAAAATATTTAATATTTTTATAAATTTAGTATAATAAAAATGTTTTTTTAATATAAATTTATTATTTTTAAGTGTTTAAATTGATTTTTTTTAAATAAAGCTAAAAAAATAAAAGAAAAACATTAACTTTTATCCAAGTTAAGAATAAACAACTATAAGTAATAAAAAAATTATCACTTTAAGAATATAAAAGTAAAATAAATATTATAGTTTTAATTAAAATTAATATTTTGGTTGTAAAAATATAAATGGAATGGAATAATAAATGATAAAATAACATTTACTTTATTTTATTCTCAAATTTGTATTTCTCTTAACTTAGAAGCTATGCAATACAGTGATATTTTTAGTCTAATTAAATTCATTTTATTTTTGTACTTTATTTCACTCCGTTTATTATCAATTATCCAAATAAAACCTTAAATAATGGATTACTTTCAAGAGGAAACAATGTCTAAAAACACAGCAACAATTCTAGAAATTTTTTTTAAAAAAAACTGCTTTTAATATTTTTTATTCAATACTTAATTTATTAACCAATATTAAAAACAGTAAGATATTTATAAATTGTTAACGAAAAAATATTTTATCAATTAAGTTAGCTTTTAACAAATTTTCAAGATTAAAAATTTTAAACACCTATATTTTTATATTTTTAATGCAGTACTCTCTAAAAATAATACTGAAAATAATAAATATTATTTTAAATCCAATTTTAAATATTTTTCTTGTATTTAAACTATTCTTTTGATGCACGCGATACTTACTCAACTATTATTTCTATATTTGTTTTCAAAATTACAATTTTGGTTATAATCAATTTTGCATATAATTAATTTTCAATTATTTTCTTTTATTTGAAAACTTCAAATGCATGCTAACTTTGGTGAGTTTTACAAATCAAGTGTTCAATTAGATTAACGTTAAGTTAATTTAAAATTATTGAATATAAATGAGATATGTATTTAAATTTTCCAAATTATATATTTTTCAAAAAAACGTGTGTATTTTATTTAAAGTACTAAAATTAATTTTATATCTTAAAATAATAAAATGGGGTTTTTTTGTCTTAAAAAAGGGTATAAATGAGAGAAAAAAAAATTGTATTGGGCTTGCTGTGTGGATAATCGCTAATATGTACCTCTCACTTGTTCGTTGTGTGTCTTCTTTTGATAAAAAAAATAATAATAAAATGGAAGAGTTGTGCCATTTCAATATAATTTTAGAATTTTGACATTTTTTTTATCATTTTTGAACAACAACACATAAAATTACATTCTGAAATCATGATGCTGTATTTTTTAATTCTCGGATCGGTAGGTGACATGAGTTAGCCACCGTAATCCGTAATTTGGTGGAAGTAAATAGCTGGGTAAGAATTTCCTTTTTCTTTTTCTCAGTTACACTATTTTTAAGTTTAAATATTTGAATGTGAAATTTCTTAGAATTTGTGTGGACGTTGATTTTTGGAAAGAAAAAGAGAAGAATAAGAGTACGGTTGATTTTTTTTAAAATTTTTGTTTTAAAATTAAAATACAATATAAATTTATACTATATTTTAATTTTAAAAATAAAAAACTTTTTTTTTAAAAGAAAAATCATGCTCCAAGACTCATGTGATATAATTTATTGTTTAGAAGATTTTATATTAGAAAATAATTATTTATAACCTCTCTTAATCATATATTTTTAAGTTTTTTAAATTTGAAGAGTTTTGTATTAATTTTTTTCTTTCTTACTTTTAAATACTTTTTTTTCTTTCTCTCTAAACTCTCAAATAAAATTTTATCAAATAAAATAACTTTATCTAATATAAATATCATGAATTTTAACATAATTATGCTAATTGTTTAAATTATAACTATTTTAATCCTTAAAAGGCATTGTTATTTATCATTTTATATTTCTTAAGTAGAAAATTTATCAAATGAATCTTAAAATCATATTTAACATTTAGTTTAATCTTTACAGATATATTTATCTATTACTAGTAATTAAAAAAAAAAGTTCAAATCATCTATAATAGTTTTAGTATTATGGAAGAAAAAGAATTAGCTTAAAAGGAAGGTTTTGAAGATAAGGATAATATTATGTTGTCTGCTCCAATTAGGATCCATCGTTCTAAAGGGATGCGTATTAGGCCCAAACATTCTAATGATTTCATCATGTAAATATTGGTTAATATTTCCACCTTAATTGCTTCATATATGAATTGTAATCAAAGATATAGAAAGGGGTAAAATCATGTCAACAATCATTGTTTACTAAAGCTAACGTCTATGAATAGGTGTTTCTGAGTAGTAAAAACTGTAATTACTCTTTCAAAACACAAATCATATCATATCATTTGTTAATACCTCACTTACTTAATCCACCAATTCTACCCAATCTTCATCCTCTAACTCTCCTAATTTGAGCAAGACTACTATAATAATATTAATTTTTTACCCTTGTAAAACTACGAATAAGACATAGAAAGAACTTTGTTATTATTGTGATGATAAGTATTCTCCAAAGCATTGTTGTAAGCGGTCATTTATGTTGTTAATTGCACTTGAGTTCACATTGGAGGAAGATTTCATTCTTGAGTTATTGTAATATTTGAATTTGCACGAACCTAAAATTGATTACCCACCTAAATCTCCATCATCCCAAATTAGCCTTCACGCCTTAATGGGTCATTTAGTACCCAAAACTTTGCAAGTAATGGGCTACATAGAGAAATCTCAACTCTCCATTCTTGTGGGTAGCCAAAGTACACACAACCTCCTCCAAGAACGTTTGGTTCATTTTTTGAGGCTAAATCTCATTTTGGCTCAAGGATTTAAGGTTCAAGTTGGTAATGGTAAAAAGTTAGTGTGCTCTAAAATTTGTAAAGGAGTTGAAATCTATATGGGCTCACACAAATTTGTTGTGGATCTGTTTGTTATTCCTATTACAAGTGCATATGTAGTACTATGGAATCAATGACTAAAACCCCTTTGGCCCAATACTCACCAATTATGATAAGCTAACTGTAAAGTTTGTGTGGGAAGGCACTTTTAAACCTAAGATGGATGAGATTTCAGCTTTAAAACTTAAGAGACTCTAAGCTATTAATGTCATTTCTAAATATTAATATATTCAGGTACAACTTGTGTAATCCCCTTCATTTACCAAACCATCCATCCCTGTTAGTGTCACTGACATTTTGGACTACTACTCTAAAATTTTTGAGCCACCACATCAACTTTCCCCCCTTGCACCACAAACCATAAAATATCTCCCTTGATTGGTTCTTCTCCTAGCAATGTGAAACTGTATA